TTATAAGTATACTGAATATAATATAATATATATTGTTCTGCTAGATACCTCTACACGTTCAGGTATACCTACCTCAATTTTCAAAGGGTAAAAAATATTCGAAACAAGTATCTACTCGAACGTGAGTATAAACATAACAATATACAGGAATATTGCAATCATTTATTATTTCTATCCACTCTCTTATATGTCTATGTTGAATATCTGTACTTCCTGAATGCATTTTAAACCACAGCTGGTGTGGCTCTATATCATTCCCAAAGTACACACAATCTATTCACGATTCAGCGCCAGTATGTCAGTTCCGTTCTCAGCATAAATGATTAATTGGACTGTTACATCCAATCCTCCATGGAAATGGATCGTGCGGTCTGGCCTGATTGCACCTGTGTCTTTAATCCCACCAGATTCAACGTTTACTTTACTACATTCACCATTGAAGAGATTGGGGTATTAGTTATTGAACGTTCATCACTGATGTTGGGTCTAACAGACTCATGGTCATGGTCAACCCCTCTTCATGTTTTAAATTATGATATTTTTGGTCTTCACAGAGGTAAAAATCTGTCCTTGCTTTAGAAACATGTAAGTACAGACAGTTATCGAAAATAACGGGCAAACATATCCAGTCGGAAAACATCCTGCATAGATTGAAAGTTAGACATGTTTTCTCGTAGTTTTTAATGTCATCGCAACGTTATCTGATGACCTTGGCGACCGCGAATAATATGACATCTCTGGTTTCAAAAGTCATATTGCTTATCTGAAATGCAACCTTATTCTCCTTATTGAAAAATCGACAACATTCTGCTTGACGAGGAAATAACAGAGACGGTAGTGAATAGACAAAATTTGCACCTACTGGATCAACATGATTATACGATGAATGAGAGAATACTTACCATATCACAATACTTTACTGATGTTATGGTATACGATTAGGAATTGTTGGGTTTCTTCTTTATATAGAATTGAGAGTATCTGAAGGTGATTCAGTGCATACTTTCAATAATAGCTGGTGAAAATCCTTCTTAGGGAGATAGTTGTTTGAGGAAAAATAACGACAACTATCAAGTTGTTTTCTGATAATTCAAAAGGTCGTCTTCCAGGAATGGTAGGAATTCGAAACTTACAATAAAAAAAGAACATATGGAAGCTCAAGAAGTTAAGTTACCGTTCAACGAGACCCTACGCTATTACTCTCCGAGTAATGTTTTCAAGGAATTAACAAAAGCATCATGCACAAAGCTCTTCATTATCAAAGAAGAGAATACCGTTGATATCATGATCTAAAGGATTTCAGCTGTTAAAAGGAGGACTGATTTTTCAGCATCAGTTCTGCATCACCTGCTCCATTGTTCTACCCGAGGATTCGAAAGGGATTCATATTCTGTCAGAACAATACAGTTATTGTTCTTATAATTTTGTACGAGGAGAGTTCAGTTTGATCCCATTGGCATACTTCGTACTGAAATTAGTGCTCCTGGTATAGTCAAAGGTTCGTAGCTGGAAGCATAGGAAGCATAGTGTGACACTATATACCTTCATATTCTAACGTCCCCATCCACAAGTAAATCATGATTTTCATGGGACCAATTGTCTCTTGTCTTCTATCACCGTTGACAGCTGATGAAGTTATAGTTGTCTGTCAGAGATGGTTTTGACATTGACATTTGGTCACATGCTATCAGCTTGATCCAGGAAAGGAATGACTAGCATTTCGTTTCCAGGTTCAGTTGTAAGATAATTGAATAACAATCGCGAACTTATATTCTTCTGACGACTGTTGAGACCACAGATTACCACCACACCTATTTGGGTACTATCTTTGGGGCATACGACGTGTTTACCGCCCCGAAAATTGTCAAAATTATGATGATTCAATACCAACCAGCTGATTTTCTCAGAATTCTCCAACAAATATTTCTGACATCACATAATGAGACTATCCTAAATAAGTGGTCAAAACCCATCGTATGATAAGTGGAGTTCTACCAAAAATACATATTATGATAGAGTCACCCTATTGATTTGCAGTAAAAAATATCTATTCTATTCTCAATTGACAAGTAATCACGACATATTTTATACAGAGGCAAGAAAAGAAGAACATTTGTTTGGGCAACTGGCAGGTAAAATGTGGTGAAACTACGTGCAGGTAGCCTAGGAACGTGCAAATGAATATCTGCAAGCAGGTATGGGCAGATATAAATAAAATGCCCAAATATGTACGACGTTTGTCGAGGGAATTGACTAGAAGTCTAGAAAGAAGTGTATCATGCGGTACACCTCGCGCCGGATAGAAGTGATAGAAGCCATCACATCTGAAACTCATGTACTTCAGAAATCGCCTCTGAATATTTTCTGAACTCTCACTATATGTGATGTATCCAGGATTCCAAACAACGCAGCCATATTCAAACTTTGACCTCACAAGCGCATCAAAAAGGAGTAAGTAGGTTTCAATCCCAGACAACCGTTTGGAGTTTCTGATAATGAAACCCAGTGTTTTGAAACCACTCGTGACAACAATGTTCACGTGGTGGTAAAAAGTGAATTTCGTGTCGAAGATTAAGCCTAGATCTTTGAACTCAGGCCTTTTTGTGCAGAAGCTGGCCGTTAATGGTATAGGAAAAATCAATAGGTAACTTTTTGCTAGTGTAAGTAACATAATTACACTTTTTTATATCTAGAGGCAATGAGTTCATTATTGACTTGTCGATGTCATATTGAAGACAGTCGCAGTCATCTAGAGAATGAATCTGCCTAAATAATTCACAATCATCTGCTCATTGGAGGATTTCCTGATTCCTGAGGGACACCAGATGATGCTGTTATTTCGACAGATTTAAATCCGTGGTACTGCACTCTCATATGCTTTCTCATCAAATATGACTCCAAAATAAGATAAAGTTGTTGGTCATGCCAAAAGAAATGAGTTTATCGAGATGTGTACCATGGTCACGCCTATAATAAGGGAAGAGTGATCAAATGCCTCTGATATAAGTCGATAAGTAATTATTAAAAGAGTAATATCATCAATGAAGATAAAATCGGCGATTATGAGAACCTACATTGAAGCGATTTGAAGGAAATTACTAAAAAAAAAATCACTGACCATTTAGCAACAATTAAGACTAATTCGAGCTATATTGCGTTGATTAGGTATAATTGAAGGTCCCAATATACTATCATGCATTATGAGGAATTCCTTGTTTCAATCCGACGGTATTTTAGAGAATATTGAGAAATTGAACTTATTGAATACGGTTGGACAGACCGATTCAAAAGGCCATTTTTGGGCGTTTTTCACGTATACTGTCTAAAATACTCGTTGTATTTGCCACAGAACTATCGATATGGTATAAGCACAGATTGTATAAGTTATGATAAGGTACTCCTGGTTCTAGTTAAGCAGTATTTGCGCGAGAGCTTCTGAGCAGTTGGATTGAAACCTACAAAATGCCATATTGCCAAAAAGAAAGAGTGATCAAATGAATCTGAGAAGTCGAGCTCAGTGGCGAAGTTAGGGGGGGGGGTTGTTGCCAAACAACGTCTATAAAATCAGCGTAGGTACTCCCTACATTGAATTGATTTAAATGGATTTCCGAAGAGAAACCACTGAATATTGTATCCCCACTTGGCGTTAGGCGTTAGCAACATTAACTGAATCGAGTTATATTGCGTTGATTAGGTATACATTGAAAGTCCCAATATACTATCATGGGCGTGTGGACTGATTATGGATTATTGGCATTCAATTACACCACTGTGTCGTTAGGGATCTAAATTAATTTTTGCACGCCTTTGTAATGTAAGTAATGAGTCTATATGCGTTGTTCAAAATTGTTTAATTTCAGAGCTCATTTCAAACGTATCGTCATGGCAGCCATTTGGCGATACGTCGAATAAATGGTGACGTCTGTTTTTATGCTGTTTCGTTATTGGTCAGATGATCTTCCATTCCCACTTTTGAAGCAAGGTTGTCAAATCTCCCATTATACTCAAGTTATCAAAAAGATATCAGAGTCCTGTCGTTGAATAAAACACGAGATAGGAAACATAATAGGAGGAAGTCATTATATTATAGTTCATTCTTGACTTTTGCGAGCAACCAGCATGCCCAAATATTTTTTATCCTCCATGACAAAATATCATGTAAATGTTGAAGACTCGGCAACAATGTGCTGAATGCTGAGAACTGGCAAGGCACCTCCCACAATTCGTGCGCCGTGTTGTCACGTTTACCGGTTTCAATGTCCTCTAGTGTAAATTAATGTAATAATTATTATTATTTACACAAATATGTAGTATAAGCGATAAGCTACAACAAATGAGGGAAAATTTTGAGACAATCGTTTTTTTATTGATAATTAGGAATACTACCAATACACTTGTGGTACATTTTTAGCCGTTTGAAAATTTCCGTGGCATCATTGATGATTTTAGCACCTTGAAATCGACCGAAAAATTCTAAAAAAATATAAAATTGAGTGATGATTCAATTTAATAAAAATAATTTCTACTCGGCTTTGAATACATTTGGATGTACCGATACAAAAGGCCATTTTGCTAATGAATACATAGAATAATTGAATGTACGAATCGAATGCCTCAGAAAAGGCCATGATCAGTAAGCTTATCTCGTAGTGCAGCCTTGGGCGTTGTTCCTGAATACTACCTAAAATTTGCGAGTATTTGCGCGTCGAAATGATATAACTTATAACAAAGATTGAGGTACGCTTGGTTCCAGTTAAGCAGTTTTTGCGCAAGTATTGGGTAGTTCGACTTGTTCAGTACGATATATTAGCTTCTGAGCAGTTAGACTGAAACCTACAAAATGCCATATTGCCAAAGTGGAAGAGTAATCAAATGCTCCTGAGAAGTCGTGCTTCAAGTAAAGCTTTGGGCGTTGTTACTAAACATCATCTATAAAATCAGCGAGTATAAGTACCCACATTGAATCGATTTGATTGGATTTCTTAGGAAAAATCACTCACCATTGTATTTGGCGTTTGCAACGGCAGCACTCAACTTGTAGTTCGAGGTGTTGGATGCCATGTCGAGAGCAGCAACTGAGCTTCTGGGGGCCGTGTGATGTGGCTCGATGGGGAGCCTTGTCGAAAGGTCAGAACTAGGTGACCCAGTTCGGTTGGGAGCGCGCGCATCTGGCCACATCAGCGTGGGAGGCTCTGCTCCCAGGGAGGAGTCCGCCCTCGAAGGGTTGAGCTTGCCAGAGATACGTCCCTAATGGAAAGGGAAGGATTCTGGCGGGTCTTCGCGATCAATTCCACACGCAAAGAAATGTTATCGCAGTGGGAGTTTGGTGTTTTTGTCTGCAGGAGATTTTCACATAGTCCAATAAAATGGTTTTTCGACTACGATATAGCCACAATGCTCAAAGTGGAATGAAATGTTAAATAAATACAAACAGCTCAAAGTCATTTCCACACAATGTTCATAAAATGAACAACAGTGGTAGATTTTGGGAAACATCCTCCCGAAATCTATGCACCGACTCGTATAAACGAATAGTGATACAAGTGATTATTTCCTGAATGTCTATTGATTTCGATTTAGCCAGGCCACGCTAGACACCTACAGAACGCCCTGCACTGATGAGAGTCGAAGAGCTCGAAATCGGTCTGTAGGTGTCTACCGTGGCCTGGTTAAATCGAAATCAATAGGCATTCACGAAATAATCACTTGTATCAGTAATCGTTTGTACGAATCGATACATAAATTTCGGCGTGGCCTGGCTGAATCAAAATCAATAGGCATTCAGGAAAGAATCACTTGTATCAGTATTCGTTTCTACGAGTCGATGCATGGATTTCGGGAGGATGTAATTCAATGTTCTGCGTGGAATTAGCCAGGAAAGTAGTCGTTTTTTCTCCCGAAATCTACCATTGTTGTTCATTTCATGAAAATTGTGTGGAAATTACTTTGAGGTTTTTGTATATATTTGAATTGTTTTTTGCTCATCGAAAGTAGTTGGTTTCTCTGCGGATTTATATGTCTTTGGGGGTGGTGAATCTGAAGTTTGCAAAACAAAATTTTCTGGAGCCTTCCTAGATATTCGCAAAAAACAGCGAAATTTCCCATTTTTCCAGTTTTTTGTCCGTTACTCGGAAACTATACATTATAGCGAAAAGACCACTGTACATGAAGTTGAAGTAGATGAAATTTTTTATGTACAGGGTGATTCAGGTTTCAAGGTACTAACTGCAATGGGTGATCTTATCATTCTGATCAAAAAAGTTTATATATAAACATGAGTCCGAGCTACAGGGGTCAAAGTTTGATTATATTTCTCTATTAATTAAAATATCTCCCTCACTTTTGGAGATATCAATTGAAATTTGGTAAGGTTAATTTTTTCTAGAAGATCATCGTTTCGAGCATTCTATATGAAGATTTTTAATATCTACTGGGTAATACGTTTTTGGTAATACGCATCTGATATCTTTCAATTATGCTATTATTTCCAAATTGGGTGGTTCGTTAAATTATAAGAGTCATTTTTTGCCCATCAATTTTTTTCGAGAAATGAACCGTTTTCGAGATAATTTAGCATAATCCTCTTTATATATAACCTGTTACTTTTGCCTATGTTTCGCTTAAATTTTATTCTTGTACAAAATTCGTTAAAAATGCAAGAAAATGTACTAAAATCGCAATGTTTCTATAAGCATTAGACCAATCTGGAAAAGTAGCAGGAATAGAGAGGGTATAGAAGGACGACGCCGAAAATTTGTGGCCCTATCCAGTTGTATCCATATTTCTTGTCTGATATCTTGACTAATATCATAAAAAAATGATATTATTAATATGGCACTCAACCTATCGGGAAGAATGTACGGTTTTCACGGAGGACTTTAGGTAACAATATGATAATGTGTTTTAGACTTATTCATCTCAAAAATGATTCATTTCAAATGGAGAAAAAACAAAAACTCAAAGTCGGTCGACCACAAAATTTAATAAAAGTAGTGACTATAGTTTCGGCTCAACGGCCATCTTCAGACACAATGTAAAAAAGTACCTAGAAAATTATAAGTTGTTAAATCTAGACAATATGGTGGCTGCGAAAGAACATACCTTATGGAGAAAAGTATACTAATTAAAACTAAGTAGTAGGTCAGCAGTTAGTTTTAATTAGTATACTTTTCTCCATAAGGTATGTTCTTTCGCAGCCACCATATTGTCTAGATTTAACAACTTATAATTTTCTAGGTACTTTTTTACATTGTGTCTGAAGATGGCCGTTGAGCCGAAACTATAGTCACTCCTTTTATTAAATTTTGTGGTCGACCGACTTTGAGTTTTTGTTTTTTCTCCATTTGAAAAATACTGGGCCACTTTGAGAATGGATGGTTTCCATGACTTAATGATTCGTTTCTCAAAAAGATGAAGTGCAAAAAAAGCCTGTGAATTGAATGATTCACCCAATTTGGTAACTGGAAGATATCAGAGACGTACTACAAAAATCTTTGGGGGGATATGTGGATATTGAAATTCTCCAAAAAGCTTAAAGTAATGATCTTCTAGGAAGTATTAACCACACCAAATTTCAGATTTATATCTCCAGAAGCGAGGGAGATATATTTCAAATAATAGAAATAAAAACCGAACTTTGATCCTCTCTAGCTCCGCTACTGATCGAGATCGGACTCATGTTTACATAAACTTTCTTGATCAAAATGATGATTTTACTGCCGAGTGTAATTTGTCGTATGCATTGTCTTTTGTCAATGACATATATAATTTTGTTGAAAAACGAAGGGTCTATAAGAAGTTGTTTCTTGCACTTATTTCAACAATTAACAATTCAAAAAGTTTGATACAATAGAAATGGAAATATTTTGATAGTGAGGTCGATTTAATTCGTATTTGACATGATACTTCTGTAGCCAACCACAGAAAATGAAATGTCTAATATATCCACAATATTATCGGAAATTCGGTAAGAAATCTTGAACTCGGTCAAATTGCTACAAGAAAACAACCACTCGTCCTGCGGACTTTTTGTGTTACCAAGCAATTGGATCTCGTTGATTTCTTACAGAAGTACCTACTATCGGAATGGTATTACCCCTGAAAATTCGACAAATGAAGTTCACCATTCCATTTTACTTTTTCTTTGTGTAGTTTTGTTCCGAGTCCAGGAATTCTTCGATCAAATTTATATATGTATATCTCGTTTTTTCGTTGTCATTGTTAGTAATAAAAATAGGCTTGGAACAAGCCATAGGAAAGGTTGAATTGCGCTGAAAGGGGGAAACAGGCAGTTACCCGCGTATTTGGTGTGGTAGTATAATAATTATGGGTTTTACTGCGAAGGAGCAACGGCAGGAGGACATGAAACTGAAAGATATTCGAGAATTTTATTACACTAGATCAAATATTGATGAAAAATTTATTCTTATTCGAGAAGTAATACGAAGAACAAACTTTCCAGTTCAAATTAATTTGAGTATTTTCAAATTAACAATTCTTAATCACACAACATGTTTCGCTAACACAGTAGCTTCATCAGGTGAAATACTGGTACAATGAAAAAAAATCTATAAATCTTTTTTATTCATATATTTTTCTTTCCATTTTTTATTTATTTTTTATTGGACCAGTATTTCACCTGATGAGGCTACTGTGTTAGCGAAACATGTCGTGTGTTTAAGAATTTTGTGGAAATCTCATAATTTGTGAAGTTTTTATATTTGCTATGGATGTCCATCAAGTAACGGCTGAGTCAATTCAAAAATTGAATTCAAATTCTTTGTGAAACAACAATTTTCGAAATAAATCATAATTTGATATACTTACTTACTAAACTATGTTGAAAATATAATTTGCTGACATTGTGGTTTCAAGAATTTCATGAGTGTTGTTTGAGACATAATCACATGGTAAATCAAAAATGTAATTGAGACTCTTCAAAAAGTGCTTTCTAATAGCACCAAGGCACTTTCTATGAATATTACTTGCAATATTCATTGATACCAATCATTCTTGATTTTCTCTCAAAAAATAAGTTGATATGATAAGAAAGGATGTCTATATACACATTGACTCACATACCTTCGGAAGAAAGCAATGGAAAATATGATTGAAAGGCCACGAAAAATCAAAACGTTAAATTCCTCCAAGTTATGTGATGAGGAAAAAGAATGGCTCCAAAATATCAATCTTTATGACTACAGTATCATTACTTCTTCACAGCCATCATGTATAACACGATACGTTATTATGCACAAAGGAAAAAAAAGTGAGATTTTCAGTTTTCAGTTGTGCATCTTTAGTCTAAACTTGATCAATTGTCTATCTCATCAGGAAATATGACATTTTATCTAGAACATTCTACTATAATATTCAACACTATGTTAGGGTGACTGTATAAAAACTTCTAGCATTTAAGATTTAACATTTAAACATAAGACTTGATAGTCTTAAGTGGATTCAGTTATAAAAAAAATTAGGATTCTAGGGCGATACATGTCTCCTGTCATTCCAGACATCTAGTTTCTGATACAGAACCAGATTTTCAAAGTTTAGTAAGTTAGAAACTGTCTGGAAATCAAAATTTCCTGTTCTGATATCATTCTATCAATTTATATTTATATCCCTGAAATGATACCCACATCCATTATATCTCCACATCATTTTGAAAGTAATCACTACTCCTTGCCTAACAGACACTGGCTCACTCCTTGGATCTTTTGCCAAATATGGAGGCAACAGAGTTGCCACACATCGTGGTTGCGACATTCTAGTGTATTTTTGAGGAACGGTTTAGTATCCATCAGAAGAAAAACAAATATTCAGGAATAACAACACATCAAACACAAGATATTTTGAATTATTTTTGAATGGCGGGAAATTGAGATGCCACTTTTGGATGCGCACTCCTTATTCCATTTATGATCATTTATCATCACTTAAGTCTTAAATGGCTTTATAACATAACCAATGATATTTCCATGTTCCATCTGTCATAAGTGATAAGCCTTAAATTTTAGGTGATAAATCTGTAGTCTTAGAGTTTTTTATAAAGTGGCCCTTAATCTAATAAAATATGAAGATAATATTTGAACGAGGACGAAGACATTTCATGATGTTTGCCTGCGAACCCAGACGACAGCGCAGGACAGTTGAACTTTCCACGAATCAATACTCTTTCCCATTTTCATAAACATTGGGGTTTGATTATGTCACTCTATTATATTATTTTTGAGAAGGAATAGGTACTCGCAGATATATTTTGAACATAAATAAGCATTCTCTATCTGATAAAATAGTATATTATTCAACAAGCATGTAATGGGATTTTGATA